TAAGCTCCAACCAAATAAAAAGAGAGTTACCAAGTGGCTTGTGGTCCATTGGTATTGGATTGCTCCCTTATGTGAGAGGTCTAGGTTTTGAGCCTTGTTGTAGTCGTAGTTTGTATGGGTATCCCCCTTCCTTTGTAATAAAAAATAAAAGAAGAGTTGGGCAAATTATTCTGTGACCCGGTGGATCCCCCTTCCTTTGTAATAAAAAATAAAAGAAGAGTTGGGGCAAATTATTCTGTGACCCGGCTCCACCTTACAAAATGGATCCGATTCTAAATGTTCACAATTTACTCGGCTACACCTTACAAAATGGATCCGATTCTAAATGTGTCCACCATACAAAATGGATCCGATTCTAAATGTTCACAATTTACATATTAAATATTTACGATTTATCTTTAAAAACACACACACACACACACACACACACACACACACACACACACACACACACACACACACACACACACACACACACACACACACACACACACACACACACACATATATATATATATATATATATATATATATATATATATATATATATATATATATATATATATATATATTGATTATCTTGTTTTGCATTCACAAGTTACTTTCAAATACTGCAGTACAGATAAGGATTTACAGACCATGTATTGTATTCACAAATTCTCTTCTACAACTGTTATGTACACAATTTATATTATAGAACTTCACAATTCCAATACTAAAAATACACAATTTATACGTCGTTTAGGACTAGGGTCCACCTTGCAAGGTGGATCCTGGTCCATGGTATAACAACTTGGAGAGTTGAATGTCGTTTTATTGACAAATTATACCATGAGCCAGGATCTACCTTGCATTGTAGACATTGGTCCAAAAATAACCTTTAGATTCAGTATCTATAGTTGACACATTCTGTACATGCAGTTGATAGTTTTTGTACATGTAGCTATTATTATCAAGTCAGATTCTGTATCTGTAGTTGATAGTTTCTGTATCTGTAGCTATCATATTATGTGTCATCAATTATCAAGTTATTTGTTTACATGTACAAAAACTATTAATTGTAGGTACATAATGTGTTTATTAAAGGTACATAATTTTTGTATCAGGTCACAACTCAATATGAACCTTGGTCCATGGTATAACAATTGGGTTTTATTAGCCTGTATGAATGGGCCGGCCTGAATTATAATTCTCATCACTTATATAGCCTTAACAAGATGGGCTTGGGCCTTTAATGTGGATCTGAAATGGGTCCAGTATGCAATGATTGTGTTTCAAATTCAATTTTATTTGTTTTTGGGTGAATTAACTATTTTACTCCCTCAATTTAGATGTAATAGGGCCAGTAACATTAAAAAAAAAAAACTATTTTACTTCATCAATTTAGATGTAAATTAAAATTACGAATCCATATTTATAGTATATTTCGATTAATATGAAATAAACCCTATTTAGGAAAAGCTCACTTTGGTGGTGAAGACCGCTTGTGTACAGAAGTGTACATGCGACGAATAACTTGGAAGTATTTTGACAATTCAATATTTACCTCCTTCAAGGGTTTTATAGTGAGTTCACGGAACTCGGGATATAGTTTGGTGAAGGCAAGAAACAGTATATCAAAAAGAATAAAAAAGGACATATTTAGTGGCGGATAGCAAAAGTGAAATACCTCATTGTTAGCAGCAGGTACTTAATCACGACTCAAAGCAATACTGGTTGATAATTTCTGAGGTTGTAGAAAACTGTCACTAAATCCTTCACGACATACTATTTAGTCGTAGATGGATAACCATCTGTATACAATATTGTGACGGTTCTAAACCGTTGCTAAACAACTATATAACCGTCGCTAAATGAGCTTTTTGGTGTAGTGACACACACAAATAAGTTGGAAAAATATAATTTTAGCGAGTAATTAAAATTATTCGGATACTTCATACTCCAGTGTCTTTTTCTTAAAATTAAAAAAAAAAAGAGTATTTTTGTCATACGAAATGGTTAAAAATAGAAAAGGAAAAAAAAAAGTTTCTTCTAAACTTCCTCTCCCTATTTCCTTTTAAAACATCATGACATCAAATTTGTAGGCACCAAAAGAGCAATATCTTTTGTATTTATTTTTAAAATTCTATAACTATATATTCCAATTTTTAGAATAAATTTTTAAAACAATTACAATCATATATAATATATCTAAAATTCGGTCATCATTGCCGACTAATAACGAAAATTACTAATTACAGGTGTTAATTAAGTGTAGAAGCAGTTAGTGAATACGTTAAATGGACTAACAATAACACAAAAAAAAAAAAAAAAAAAAGTAATTAGTTAAAGATGAAATGGCTGGCATTTTGTTCATAGACACACATGCCCTGAGGAATTTTAATACCCAAAAAAAAAAAAAAAAAACAGAATTTTGAGGACTTAGGGGTAGGATGCAATATGAATCTGGGCTGTTTTCCAAAAGGGCAGCCAATTCCAGGTATCCAACATGAATCATATGATTCTCAAATCTTGTACCGAAGTTGTCAATTAATTGACTGCTAATTGAGGTTTTGTGTATATATATATATATATATATATATATATATATATATATATATATATATATATATACACGGAGTATTATTTATGGAAATGATCTCATTTTTTTTTTGTTTTTTATTTTTTTTCTTTTATTTTTAATCGATAGATCTATTAGATAGATTGTTATCATTTATCCACAGTTCTCACTTAATCATAATTCTCATTGGAGCTGGACCCTATATATATATATATATATATATATATATATATATATATATATATATATATATATATATGTACGTACTTTTTATTATTTCAAATATCTTTAAACCTTGTGAAACCAGACAATTATTGTGAGGCACAGAGAATGTATTATGGAATTCCAAGTCAAAGAACTTGTGGTGTAATATAATAAGCTTTGTAACATGCAGCTGTATATAGTCTATAATCATGAATTATGAACAATGATTTTTTTTTTTTTTTAAATTTTCTGCAACTTAATTATTTATAATTTTGTTAGATTAGATAAGTTTGCAATCTGTACCAAACACTTAAAAAAAAGTTAATTAATATAATCCTGACCACTTGATTAAAAAAATTACCAAATGGCCACTATATCTGCTGCCAGCATATTCTAGATAATATATATATGGGTTCCTCTTACAAGATACACCATAGCATATGTCTTGAGTTTCATTGGTAGTACAAATTACCATAAGTAACTATTAAAATTTTGCTTATTTTAATCTTCTTCCAAAACATTGAATCCCCAATCTGACCCGACAGAGTATTCGGGATGACGTAAAGAGATCTGTCTACTTTGAGCATAATCTCCACATTATAGCTGCTAATATTCGAATCTTAATTGGTCTCTTATTTCAAATACTGCCTACTGAACCATTGAGCTAAGTTCGTGTGTGCTAAATATTTTAGTTTTCTTTTTGGGAAGTATATGGATTTGGCCATTTGCAGTTTTGCACCTATAAAAAATAAATATAAAAGTCTATTTCTAATCAAAATACAGATTTCAGTCCATTTTTAAGTGTACTGGAATCCACGAATTTGTTATTTTGAATTTCTCTCTCTTTTGAATATAATATAATACAATATGATGGAAACTTGATTCTGATTTATAGAGCAGTAGTTTAGATCTTATTCCGATCATATTAATCATGAAAGTATGAAGAGCAAATATTCAATCACTAATCCTACATGAGAAAAAAACAATCATGAGAAAAGGAATAAAGGATAATATTTTAAGTGTGCATGTTTGCAGCATATGTATGTGTTATATTTTTAAACAAATGTTATTTAAGTTAAATTAAGTTAATCATACAGTTGACTTGATAACTACAAGATTTCAAGTTCGGATCTTTGTAGAAGCGATTTATTAGTTTTTTTTTTCTTTTTTATTTGAGCAGAGCAGCCTAGACTGGTTTATCTTCTTGTGACTTTTTGCTGGCTAGGGTCATTAGGTTAATTAACCACATGATCGAGAGTGTTTTGCCAGCAATACTATACATACATTAGTCGTGGTGGTTCTAGTTGATTGGCAGAGGAAACTAATAGTCAAACAAAATAGATACCGTCTATTTTAGCTAAAAATTACATTGATAATGTGACTATAAATAGGGAAAGACTAATATACGATACCGTTCAGTATCATGCCTTTTATACAAATTCAAAGTAAAAAAGTATAGAAAAAAATACTCCGTATATTACCTTTGTACCCAGTATAAACTGAAAAATTCACATTCACTTTAATGTGGCACCGAATATAAGAATCATGGATGGTAATTGACATCTTATAATTCCCTAGCTATATAAATATATACATACACACCTGTGTGAAAAATATCACACTTTTTCTTTTTCTTTTTTGCTTTATATTTAATGTGTAGGCCTGACCATTATGTAAGAAAACTAAAGCTCCAATTCAATACCCCCAGATTTAGGACACCAGTTTAATTAGGATATAGCAGCCACACTTTATGCTGATTATATTCCAATATTCACTTCACTCCATAATACACCAGCTAACAAAAAAGCAATATCTATCCTAACTCCCTTTTGTTATATACTTCAAAGGTTGTCTAAAGTTGTATGAACATGTAATATTCCATGCAACCATACACACACCTAAAAGCACCTTTTCCCTCTTCACACATATCCTCTCATGCCCCATTCCATCGCGAATTGCCCAATCAGTCTTCAGTTTTCACTCCTACCTGTACACGATTCGTATAAGATAGGAATCTTCATACCGGCCGCTGAATCAAAACTTTCAGGGTGACCCTTAAACGTACCGTTTAACTAATTATTGTTTGTTTGTATACAATATAGATCGGGAAGAGCCAAACACCTTGTGCTCAGATGACACTTCTGTGGCTCTGCCTGAGGGAAAGTCAATGATGGGGTGTTTGACTCTTTAGACTGCAGTAGTTTGAGAAAGTATAGAACAGGATATAGATCGGGAATAAAATTAAAAACAGATATTTTTTTAAAGATCTATTTCCATTTTTCCTTTGCTTCATTTGGGATAATATACACTTGAAATTTGGAACACAAAATTATGAAAGAAAAGAGGAATTATTAGTCTAAGAATGTTACAAAGCATCAATAACCCTTTGCTTCTTGCCGCCGTCTACTGCCAGCAAATCCATCTCCCTCAGCCGCTTCACGCCGCCGCAGCTACTAATCTCGCCGGCGTTACCGTTAACGTCTCCGGCCGCCTTCCATATGTTAACACCGAAAAGTCTAACCACCTGAGCCGCCGGGCTTCTGTGTTGGGCTTGAACGAAGCATGAACCGGCCGCAGCGGCGGCGGCGGTCTTGCAGTCTATGAATAGCTGCTTTTCCGGCCCGGCGGAGCGCTGGAAGCAGACGACATCTCCGGCTTTCAAGCTCTTCTCCTTCACGAACCGGCTCCACCCTTTGGTCAACACGTAGCTTTGGCTACTGTTCCAATAGGAGTAGCGGAATCTCCAGACTTTGCCGGTTTTGTCCTCGAAGTTTAGGAGGATTCCCTTGGGGGCGGCGCCGGCGTTTTGCATAGGTAAGTGTTTCTCGGCGTGCTGTTTGGGGATAACGAGCCGGTTCAGCTTCCCGACGTCGCTCGGAGTCACGGCTTTCTCGAAGAGCGGTTCGCGGGTCGAGGAATTATTGGATTTGTCGAGGGTATTATCGTCTTTTAAAGAACGGGTTCCGAACTGGCCAAACGCGGCCTTAAACTGCCCAAACTCCTCGCCGTAAGTATGCTTTCTCAGCATGTCCACGATCTCCAGCTTGGAGTGGTTGTTCAAGAACGCGATCTGAACGTCGTCGTTTCGGCCCTCCTCCGACGATAAAACCAACGGTTTAAAATTCGTCACCGCCTCCCGGCCGCGGAAGCGCTGGGCGGCGACGTCGTACGCCCGCGCCGCCTCCTCCTCCTCGTTGAAGGTCCCCAGCCACACCCGCTGGTGTTTCTCGTAGATTTGCGCCCCCCACCGGCCGTTCGGCTGCGGCACCACCCCTTTGAACCTCGACGACGGCAGCTTCCGGGTGGACTCCGCCTCCACGCCGTTCTCCGCGTCGATGATCACGCTCCCGCCGCTGCCCATCCGGCACAGCCCGCTCTCCGGCCACTTCGTCATCGTCTTCGCCGGTACCGCCGCCGATATAGAGTCGCTAGTTGTGCTCTCATCTGCGCTACTTCTATCCATTTTCTTGAGAGAAATTTGGGGAGTCAGAGAGAGATTGGAAAAGAAGATGATGTTGTTTAATGTTTTATGACACAATAGTCGCATGTATTATGTGTGTGTATATATAGGAATTGCAGCCCTAATGTTTTGTATGGCTTATTTGTACTACTTTTTTTTTAATCATTAATTATTTATATTATATTATTTATTATTTATACTACTAAAAGCTAGAATCATTATTGTTTTTATATACCTAGTTGACCCCAAGGACCCTGCCCCGGCCTGGAGCCACCGCAGAAATAAATCGTGAGCTGAGAGGTATTTTTGCATTCATGTTTGTAGTAGTGTGATTTCACCCTCACATTACCGCATTCAGTCATGACATCAAGTCAGACAACGAATAGCTATACTAACCCCAAGGCCAATCTAGCATCATTATTATTATTATTATTGTTGTTGTTGTTGTTGTTGTTGTTGTTGTTGTTATTATCCCAACTTTGTCGGATTGATCTTATGCCCACAAGATCCCGCTCTTAATGACATTGTAGAGGTAAATCCTGAGTTGCGTAATTAGTCCACTAAAACACTACACTGACATCTTCAGTTGTGATATCAAGTCAAGCGACGAACCATTATGCTAAAATTAGGAGCAAGCTAACATTATTATTATTATTATTATTATTATTATTATTATTATTATTATTATTATTATTATTATGAAATAATGAAATTTAAGGAAAAAAAAAGATTTTTGGAGAATAGTGTGGGTCAACCCCCCATAATCATGCAAAGGTATGAAACGACGAAGATTCATGCTGTGGGTTGAGTAAATAATTGGCTAAAACTATTTCAAAAGAATATAGAATTTATTTTTATATGAAATAATTTTCAATGAATCGACATAAAAAAAGCATCTCACGTTTAATTTACCTATTTGGTCATCATGACAAAATTTACTTTCTATGTGTAACAACTTTGATGACACCTTAATTTTTATAATACGGGTGATTCTTTATAAAGTAATATAATACTCCGTATATGTTATATATACTTTTTTCATTTTTTTTATTCAATCCAAAAAATTAATATTTAGTAAAATTTATTTTAGTAAATACATAGAAAAAATGCAGAACAAAGCAACGTAACACTAAGATTATGATTATTAAGCATGATATATATAAACTAATAAATGTGCAGTCTTAGCTCTATTACATTGTAGTATCTGTTCATATACTTTCTCAACCTACTAAAACACAAAGAACTAATAACGCCTCCACTAAGGCTTAAACTCACAACCTTCCAAATGAAAGTCCAACTCGGGTACCATTAGACCACATAGTCCTGGTAGCTTATTATCGATTTAAACTTTTAGTTAAAATAAAAAACATCCAGTTAATATCAATGTTAGGCAAAATAACCTACACACATACATAAAGGAGGTAGCTAGGAGGTAGGAGTATGCTAAGCATAGTATATATGTGTATCTATATATGGCATGTATATATGAAGTTATAGGTGTATCTATAAATGTGGTATATGTATGTATGTGAAGTGGGGCTAGGATAATAGCAACTTGACTGTGTTCACATGAGAGTGGACCATAGATGATGGTGAGTTCATCCCCCCTGAGCTTTTGCTGCTACGATACTGCTGACTATTAGCATGGCATTATATTGCCACCATCCTCTAATTACTTTTCTCTCTCTCTCTCTCTTCCTTAATGTTTATCTGGATTGCCATTTCTGTATTAAAAAGTAGCAAGAGCCATGAAATTATAATGAAGATCCATCATATATGGTAAATGTATAATTAAATTGGAGACATGGAGCTATGGAGGAAAGTTTTAAACAAAAATTAAACATGTTGGGCAGAGGTTTGGAGGGTCGAGTCCAACATTCTGTTATCGAAACGTGGCGCTAACGGTAAATCTATAATCCAAATAAAGTTGTGTTTTCGCTAATAGTTATCTGGAAGGTGCTAGCTTGGAGCACAGAGTCACGATTACCACCACACAAAAACTATAATTAGTAACAACTTGTGGTATATTTTGATGACAAGATATTAGGCTTCCTTTACATGCCTCTACTCAACAAAAATTTCTTAAACTCTACTTAACTTATGATTATATAATGGAGTTAGTCAATTTTTGAGTAATCAATTCAATAATATAAAAAGTTTTCTTCTTTCTTCTTATAAATTTCATAGATAATGCACATAAGAAAATAGGGTTGGCCTGGATACCATTCATGAGCCATTCTACGTACTATTATTTCATTTTTTTTATAAAGATAATTTATACTATATTCCATCTTATCTATTTCACTTTATCTTTTAGTTCTCCATAAATGGTTATTTTTCTGAAATAAATTCTTTCAAATAGAATTAAAGTAAACATTATTATTTGTATCAAATATTTCTTCGCACTAATATAAATATTATGCATGCCATCAAATTTACCAATGAATTAACCTATTTTATTCCATGTTAACAAGGTTGCATCACTTCAGGCAGTACAAGAATGACTATCCTACATTGACAACCAGCCAACATGTCAAACAATAATTAACTTGATAATCACAAGGTTTCAAGTTTGACTCTTTATAGGAGCAGTTTATTGACATTATATTCTTGATTTGAGTCTGTTAGCTATGACAAATTATACCATGGACCACAGTCTACTTGCAATGTGAACCTGATCCAAAATGACATTCAGATTACGTACTTGTAGTTAATATAGTATATATATATCTTCCGTTAACAAATTATGTACATATAAATAAATTGAAGGTAACTACATAATTTATTAACTGCAAGTACATAATACATAATATGTTAAATGCAAATACATAATATAATTGTAGTGAATATGTAATTTATTAACTAAAGATACATAATATGTTAACTGTAGGTATATAATTTGAATGTCGTTTTAGACAAAAGTTCACAATGCAAGGGTGACCCTGGTCCATGGTAAAACTATAGGTCAGCTATGGGTAACCTAGACTGATTTACCTCTTTGCAGTCAACTATAGACAACCTAAGTTTTCTTTACCGACTAAGTATATATAGCAAACCCCACTTCTATATTTAAAAAAAAAAAAGTTTCAAAATTTAAATATAACTAAAAGTAATTATTTCTATTTATTTTCAAAAATTATAAACAACTATTTTATTTTTTAAGCTCTATGTTTCTTTTAATCATAATTCCCCTATAATTATACATTTAAATTTTGATTAATTCAAAACTGAGATGATGGCTAAATATACATATTTTGGTTAAATCTTAGCTCATTCATAAAATTTACCAATGTGGTCCAACATGATCCCACTGAAATTAATTCCAAAAAGTAGTTAATGAATATATAGATAAGGTTAATATCAATAATAGAAAATTTTATTAAAACAAAAAGAAAAAGAAAGAAATTAGCTATTTATGAGTTCTTTTAAAATAATAGTTTTGGTTCCAATAGGATGGGAAGGTGATGGGCCAATGTAAATGAGGGGATGGATAGACATAAAGAGTAAACCCATCCAACTGGCATGACATGATTCGTCCTTCCCATCCTCCGTTTGTCTTATTGGCTACATTCAAAACATTTTTCAACAAATCAGAAAAATTCTAAGTTCCTCAATTATTTCATTTCCACCCAACATTGACAATACATCCATAGTCCTTTTAATCCCCAGTAGGTATTCAGAGTGTTTGATAAATAGCTGTTAGCTGATTTGATTAGTATGTTTAACTAGTTTATAATAACATTAGTTGCTTGTAGAAAAGTGGTTGGTAAATTAGTTGTTAGCTAATAGTTGACTATATACAAAATGACTTTCTCAAAAGTTTATCGAAAAAATTACTTTGAGCAGTTTTTCGAATTTTAACTTTGAGCAATGCTACACATCGCTTTATATTTATTATTTATTTAACAATTAATTGATCATATTATAAATTAATCAGATTAAATGAAATCAAATATTACAAGAAATTAGTATTATTGGCAAGAAAGTGCTACTTTTACTAAATATAACATGACTAAGTTGAGTATTTTAACTTTTTATTATTGAGTAATTATAAATTAATTAAATAACAGAGTGTCAAATGTTATAGATTTTACGATAAAAAGTTTGATGATGATAACATTACTAGAAAAATTAACCAAGTGTGGTAGAAGTCTACTTGCTATTGATCTTGGAACTCTTAAAGGTTTACCTTTTTTTCATTGGTGATTGGTGCAAGTAACTTTCCTATTGATGATGGAAAAATTTATCTTAAAATATCATAAGTCAAATTATGCATTCTACAACATAGATTCAAAATCAATTGAGTTTAAAAAGGAAAAGTTAGTGAGTGGATAGTGAATTAATTATTAATTTTTAAAGTTTCAATCCAAGCAATAGTAAAATATCACAACATTTCTAAACCACCAATAGGAATGAAATATCTTGTAAGCATATAAAATGATATTTCAACCCGAATTATATACACTCAGTAAAAATTAACTAGCCTTTTTTAATTTAACTTAGAGTTAATTCTTTTTTTTTTTTTGGTCCTAGACTTATTATGCGTTGGACATGTTTAGTCCACCATAAATAATTTTGTCACATTTTGTCTAAATTTATTAAAAGTTGGACAATTTTAGTCCACCGTCCAACTACACGTTAAGTCTCCATGAAATTGAAGGACATTTTTGTCCTTTCCAGTGGTATTCTTCATCAGCCCTTATTGTGACACAAAACATATTAATATGGTCTTGCACAAAACATGTTTTTGTTATTTTAAGTGAGGAACAAACTAGGGTTTTGACCTTTAATGGACTCCAAGCAACACATGAACTATAGTCTCTTTTTTATCAAGTGGGTTGACTCTGATACCAAATTGAAGCATGTGTTCCAGATCAACAAAATGACTAAGTTGATAGTTGGATTGCACATTTATGTTTATATATTATATATACTCAACAACTATCACACTAAATAATATTGATTGGCAAGGTAAACTTTCCCTAATAATTTATAATTATATGGATCAATAATAGAATTTCCACTTTTATTTGTTCATTTGTTTGAAAAATTAGCACATGAAGTTGACATATACAGGGCCGGATTTTAGGCTGTGCAAGCTGGGCTACCGCACAGGG